TTAGTTAAGAAATTAGGTGAGGAAAGTGGAGTGTGTGGGAAGTGTGAGGAGAAATTTGTTTAATGAAGTTTTTTTTTGTGGCGAAATAAATGAACTTTCGACGAAATGAATCAGACCCATCTATCTTTCAATATTTGTTGAGATATGCAACTTTTTGTCACACGGTTGTTTTCGTTACTTTATGACTTTAATGTGATCAATTGAACTGTCGCGTATTACTCGCAACGACCGTTCACTTATTCATGCTTCACAAAGTTGTATTACAGAGTATTTTGTAAATTCTGCCTGCGTGGATCAATACATCAATTAAGGTACGTTAATTGTTGCTATTTATATTAATATGCATTTCCTTCGCCATTTCGAAAAGGGCATGGTTGTTTTCAACGTTAAAAACAATGAATCGATTTTTCGAGCTGTTACATTTTTTTAATTCACATTTTCAAAAGACTAGCATAGTGGGAATTTGAAATGTTACACGAATTTTTTATATTTGTGCAACGTAACTTTCAATACACGGCAAACATTCTGGCAATAAAAAAGTAAGTGATAAACTAGATTTGAATTGGATCTGAACTTGATATCCAATTTAGAGAGGTAACATAATAATAATGGTGAAGTTTCAGGAGCAACGGGTTCTGTATAACATTTCGTGTAACAACAAACTTCCACTATGCTCAAAAGACTACGGTTGTTTAATATTAAAATATTATTATTATATGATGAACAATTTCCGAATTGTTACGTTTTTTTCACATTTTTAAAAAAATTTAGGGAGCGAGTGATCAATCAAAAGGTTTATACAACGCAATCAATTTTGTGAAACAAAAATTTTTATTTTCTTTCGAAAATTTCCAAAGAGAGATAGTATCGTCATCAATTCTTTCTAAATTGTCACGAAGCGTGTTGCACTGATTTAGTTAGGCTGTATTCTTTCGTTAATTAAAATAATAATAATAACCAGTTATTTTTATTTATTTCAGAATTACGAGATAATGATTCTCCAGATAGACAAGAATTTAAATAGGAAAAATAATAAGCAAAAGTTACACGCCAACTTTTCGTTTTAATAATAATAGTTAATCCGATATATTAACAGGTGCATATTTACACTTTTCTTTTAAGGATCGGTCCTGCTCAAGGACTGGTCCAAGTCTAGGAAAATCATTACTATTTTACAATATTTGCATAATTGAGCAAGTTTAAATCTGGTCCATTGAGAACTGATGGATTTTGGACTGGCCCATTGCCGTTAAAATAATAAATATGGTTAGTGTTACATAATGGACCCAATAGACCACTAATAGAATATCTAAAAAATTGACCCGCGTGACAAAAATCTTTTTAATCAATATATTTTATATAGAGAGGGATTCTCTAAGTAAAGCTACAACTATTCAAAAATGGTATTACACATTTTTATTCAAAACAAGATTATCGTTTCAATATTACTTTGTCTTAAAAATTGGTATTAAGCTCTCGTATTACTTTATGTGGGGTGAACCTCTGAAAGTGACAATGTCCTACGACTACTAATACTAACTGGCAAATTCAAGATCGGTCAACTAACATTCGTTGGCTATTGTAAACACAATTTAAGACAATTTGGGTCAACTATTCATAGATTCATGAATATCATGAATATCGTTATAATACAAACAATAAAATGAAAAACAAGGAATAGTGAATTATTAAACGAATATTAAATGGTTTAATTGGATACATTAATGTTAAGAATTTCATTTTAAGAAAATAATTTTGGAAACAAAATCAGGTGACAATCTATTTCTACTAGGCGTTATATAATTTCCCACATCGAAAAATAAATGTTCTGAAGGAACTGATGTTGCACTCATGCAAAGAGATTTTCTTGCTAGTTTTGACATAATAGACAACTCATTTCTTCTCTCATTCCACCATATAAAAGGGTCGACGGTTCTTGATGCTGTTGGTAAATTAAAATATTTTTCAAATTCATCTTGTTCCTGCTCGAATTGTTGCAAATTATCAAATAAGTCATCAAAAATGTTATTTTGACCACTGAAACTAGTTCTTAATGGCAACTTTACACTTCTTAGTTGAATAGGACTACTACTCTTCTTGTTGTTGTTTTAATAGGTTATATTGATCTTTTAATGAATTTAAAATTTCATTACGTTGTACATCACCAAAAAATATCAGTGCTTTAAAACATGGGTCTAAAGTTTATGCAAAAGCAGCTAAAGAAGAAGGAGTGGACCAATAATGATCTAGTGAATTATATAAAGTTGAGATGTTTTTTTCATATAGTCCTACACTATGAACAGGTCTTGATATATTAATTTTTTTTCTTCTTCTTTCACCATTATTTTCTTCAAATAATTCTACTTCATCTTCATCACTTTCTTCTAAAAGTTCATTACTATCTATCGGTTCAATTATTTCATTTTAAAAATCATTATTATTTTCTTCATGCATTTCAATTAACTCTAAAAATTTGTTCTTGAGAAAAAAGATTAGTGATACAACTAAAGATAGTGTGGCAAAATCTATTCCACTAAGTGTTGTTGTTATTGTATCAAATTGTCCAAGTATTTCAACAAGTTTTATAATTAATTCCCACTCATTATCAGCTAATAATAATTTATGTAAATTTTTTCCATCTTTTTTTTAGTTTCAAGGTCATTATCCAGCATTATATTGGCTTGTAAAAGGATGATGGCTTTTTTGAGAACTAACAACCTCACCCATGAATTATAAGTACTGTTCCAGCATGTAGCTATATCATATATTGGTCTTAATTTTTCTGGATAATCTTCACTTAATCTTTGTTGTTATCTAAACAGTGCCTCCAACTGTTTTGGGGAGTTGAAAAATAACACAAGTCTTCTCACCCTTAGAACTAATGCTTTAATATTATCATTGCAGTTTAATGCTTTTTAAATACAAAGTTGTAATGTATGAGCTGCACAAGAAATTCTTTCAATATTGAGAAGTTATCCCAAAATTGAGACGATATCTCAAAATTGCGAGGATATCCCGATTCTTTCTTAAATAAGTTAAATAAATTACGACGACGTCATACAAATAATTAATAAATAAAAATATAATCAAAATAAAAATAAAAATAAAACGTATTATGAAACACGGATAAAATAATACTAAATTAATAAAATAAGGTTATAAAAATAGGAATAACTAAAGAATTTCTGAATTAGTTAAAGGTAACATACGTGAAAAAGAAAACATGCAAAAAGAATCAAATTTTAATTTTAACAAACAATCTTAGTAAAAAAAAAAGGAATTAGATTCTGATTCATTATTATACAAAAATGGCAATATTTTATTGTATGTTTGCTTGGAACCAAGAACAAAAAATGGCCTTTATATTAGTCGTAAGTAAGTCGGTAGACATTCAGTACTGTACTCTGTACGTATGATCTTCAAATTAGCATTTCTGTTACGAGTACAGAATCCATTTGATTGGTGGGGTGCTGTGTACTGTATGGTTGGTGTATGGCTTTTTTAAAAAAATTTCTATTTTTGTAGCCACGCAGTGCAGGAATGCAAAAGAGTATATACAGTACTGAATGTCTATATACTCATCGTAACACGAAAATCGTATACTGAAATGGAAATGTGAAAATAGAATTTTACCTCGTCTGTATTGTTTGTTTATATAATAAAATAAATAAATGCCTAGTTTATAATTGTAATAGTCTTTATTGAGTAACATTCGAATGTCAAATTCCTTATTATTATTCTGTATTAGTATTAAATTTTTTTTCTTACAAAAATATTTTTTATTGCGTAAAGTCTACCTACATCATTAAAAAATGAGAAAACTACTAACGAATTACTATTATTTAAAAGTAATAATTATTATTATCATAAATTATTCATTGTTCTGTCAGGCACAGAAACGAGGATCATACAAAGAATTTATAACAGAAGCAACAACTGTTAATAATCTAGTTGTTAACCATTATGACTTACCACTTGTAAAAGATGAGTTGTCGGTAACATTAAAAATGTATCTCACGAGTCATGCTAACAATTGGACTGTTATTTTTCATAAAGGTGATTTTGCATACGACTATTAATTATTTATCTCAAAAAATTCTTTAGTTATATGTATAATGCTTGTTATATTTAGGTAGAACAGATGACACTGAACGTACACCTTCACTCATGCTGACACAAGATGTATCAGGCCTGCATCCACGTTACTCAATGACTGGTAGCGGGAATGTGGGAATTCTTAGCGTTTCTGAAATTTTACTTAACCGATGGTATCATGTTGCATATACACTTTCAGATCCTGAAAAACGAATGGATGTATATATAGATGGTAAATGGGCTGGATTTTCATGTATCTCGATAGTTCAGAGTCAATCTTTCATATTCAATGATGCACCATTATTTATTGGAAAAGATAACCTCTACAATGGATTTAGTGGACAAATTAGGTATATATGTATGGAATTCTTCAATCGTCGTATTAATTAATATAACATAAATATTAAATGATTACCTATGTCTTAAAAATTAGTAATTTTCGTTATTATAACTATTCTCTATCTCATGACGAAGTAGGAATGGATTATTTGGTATGATTTATGTTTATTTTTATGTATTACTTTTTTAGGTTCCCAAATTCTCACGTTGATAATTTTTTAATCTAGGGACAAGATCCGACAACAAGTAATTCAACTAATAATTGCCCAACGACAGCAACTCCAACAGAAACTGTAACAGCAACAGCAACAGCAACAGTAACGGCAACAGATGGCGTGGTGACGACTGGAATTTTAGCCGGTTCAACTGTAGGATCATTTTTCTGTGGTGTCATATTTTTAGCAGGAAGTTTATTCATCAATAGAATTATAAAACGAAAACAAAATGTCTCATTTGATAAAAATGGGCCTGATAATCAAGTAGTGTTCTTAAAAAAATAAAATAAGTTAGTGTTTGTATAAAATCTTTGAAATGTAGATACAGTCAGACTCCTATATAGTCGCACACCTTGGAACCATAGTGAAATTTCAAGAATTTTGGTGACTATAATGTTTGTGACTATACAAGACATGTTTTTACTATGATTAATTAGTAGTAAGGAATTTTTCAAATTAACAAAAAAATGTGACTATGTTGTGACTATATAGGATGTGACTATATAGGAGTCTGACTGTATTATGAAACATGTTTCTTGGTTAAATTGCGTTTTCATTTTTAGAAACATCGCATGCTAATTTTTTACTATTTACTATTTATAGATTCAGGTTCTTCCGGTGGGTGGGGCGTTGTTATTTGTGTGGCTCAAATTATTTTGATAATAATTATGAAAACTGGATTATTTGTTTTAATTTTGTTGGAATATGGAAGTTTTTATTTTTAAATTTGATCAAAAATTAAACAAAAACTCCAACGAGCCAGCCAGATCAAACATTTTTATTCAAAATTATTATATAATAATAAACATTATTTATTAATAATAGTAACATTATGTAATTCGTTTTTTAAAAAAGTTATCATACTGTGATCAAGCTTGGACTTGAAACAGCAATACAGATAAATTTTTATTCTCTTTACGTTTAATTTTTTGTTTGTGTGGTACAGACTAGTGTTGGTTGTTAAAGTATTTTGAAGAGGTGAAAGTCAAAACTAAATTAAAAAGTTTTATGTCAAAACAAAACAAAAGTCAAAAGTCAAAACTAGTTTCGACTTGTGGCAAAACCTTTTGATCTTCGCACAGTCACGAAACTCTAGTTTTGGAAACCAACACTATTGCAGACCAATTAGAAAGTAGCATAGTGGACATTCGTCGTTACACAATACGTTACACAGTGTCTGTTGTTCCTGAAACTTCACAGTCGCAGGACATTGCGGATCTACAGGGGGTCAAGTGTCACTCACTAATAAAAATTTTTTGATCAACACGGAATT